CAGTCTCAATAGACTCAATCTGAGGAGACAGTACCCCAGGAGTATCCAATAAGAATATAAGGGGTCGGTCACAGACCTGAAACAAAAAGAGTTCAAAATCAGTTCTTACAATGTCTAGAACTTACTATCCTTTACTTCTAAGAAGATATGCATAGCCATGGCCAAGGAAAATATTGTACCCATAAAGACCATTAACTGACTGGAATTGGACCTAATTAAATAATGACCTATCCCTAATTGAAAATGTCTTACAACAGAAGTCTTCAGTGAAGGCCCTTTACATGTTTGTCATCATGAGATTTGCTTAGTGGATACAACGATTCCCTCCCTCATGACTGCATCCTAACTGCAACTATCTTCCAAGCAAGATCCATTTGATATCACACCTATTATAATTTAGCTTTTGTGAGCAGAGATACCTCCTCTTCCTGTTTGTGGTGTTATATACAGTGATACACCATATATTACCCGCAGTACTTCACTTTCCACAATGTGTGCCATGCCATGTGGAGCACAAAATTCCTGCCTATGTTTCCACTGTCCAGGATGTTTCAATATATTGTAGAAACACAGGCAAAAGAACAGAAAACAAAACAAAAAAATCATTGAATGAATACTAATGGAAGTTAAAGAAGAAGTTGTACTGTGGATTCCAGAAACATCTCACATTTTGTGCATGACCACCACTTTACCTGGATTTTGGTGAGAACAGCTCTGGTAATACCTGGTGTCCCACCAACCACTGAAGCCTTTCCTTTGTGGTGGAAAGAAAGAGAAAACAGTTATATATAACCACCCAGATAATCTTAACACATTTACCGGACATTATCTTCTCAGGTCAGAAATCAGCCCCATAATTTTTTCCCCAAGCAACAATGAATGTAAAAAACTCCCTGCCTTTTCCAACAATATCAAACAAAACATGCTCCAAAAGATCACTAACCAGTACAAAGCAACCCATGCCCAGTTTGCCATTAACATAATGGATTAATAGGGATAGAAATGGCTTTGCATAGCTTTTGTTGGTGCACCAGTTGCATCTCTCCCTGTAGAACAGTGGTTCTCAACCTGTGGGTCCCCAATTATTTTGGCCTTCAACTCCCAGAAATCTTAACAGCTGATAAACTAGCTGGTATTTCTGAGAGTTGTAGGCCAAAACACCTGGGGACCCACAGGTTGAGAACCACTGTTGTAGAAGGAAGATTTGAAAATGGTTCATATCTTATTTATCTCTCAGTTAGACTTGCTATAATCCATTCTACACACGGCCATAATTCAAGACTGTTTGGAAATTATGGCTAGTGCAAATCATGGTGGTGAGACTATATGTCTACATGCGTGAATTTTAGAGAACTGTCACTGACTTTGTACCAAATGTCTTGGCTTCTCATTTTGAGCTACATGGAAGGTGCTGATTTCAAGCAACAACACTCTAAATAATTGTGGAGGAAGGAGAATATATTCTTAAAGGTAGGGACAACTAATAGAGAAAACTGGGCAAGAAGTATAAGAAGGAAAGAATTGGGAAGAGGGAAAACCTTAAATGAGCAGTAAGGGAGATAATCAATGATCTCTGATGTCTCTACATTAATGGACACAGCATGGGAAACAAACAAGATGAACTTGACCTCCTAATACAGCAAAGGAATTGTAATATATTAGGCATAACTGAAACCTGGTGGGATGGGTTCCATTTTTTCTATACCACTGCCACTCTATTCCACAGGTACAGTTGGTGCAAATACAGAAAAATGCACTGTCTGTGGCTGCTCCCACCCTTTGAAATTACCTCCTTAATGAAGTTACTATTGCTCTTTCTTTGTTTTTCTTTTGGCAACAGGTTAAGATCCTTTTTTTCCTAGCAGGTTTCTGAAAACTGATTTCAACAAAAATGACTTTTCTGGTACTGTACTGTTTTTAAGTTATTTTTAATTGGTTTTCATAGTTAATTAATTCTGTTTGTTTTTTATTTTGCATTTTTTTAAAAAAAACTATATGTGTTTTATTCTGTTCTCTGTAATTTTGTAAGCCATTTGAGTCCCTGTCTGGAAACAGGCAGAATATAAATAAAGTGACGGGTGGGTAAATTGACAGAATACCCTAACTGCAGATATTTGTGCAATGTTCAATATATCTTGTTTATTTTTGTACAGGCAAATACTACCTTAAACTTAGATTTTTATAAAAACTATAAATCGAGTAGCAAAAAAACTAACCTTTTTTGAGGTGCCGTCTTCTCACTGAATTGATGACTGATGATTTCCCGACATTTGGCACACCAATGACCATGATGCAACTCTCCACATTCTGGAACCAAACAGAAAGAGATCATCCCCATGCTAAACAGAAATATTGGTCAACATCATAGGTCTCTTCTGTCTCATAACCAGAAGCAACAGCTATACAACAGAACTAACCTCAGACCTCTGATAACGTTGGTTGTTGCTTATGAGTTCAGTGACAAGGGGAACAATCTGCAAGGAGATATAAGAATAATTTAAGTGGAAGAACAAGTGAAATTACTCTTGCCTTTAAAGCTTGATCTACACTGTCCTATATCCCAGGATCCAATCTCAGGTTATCTGTTTATCCCGGATTACCTGACAGTGTAGATTCATATAATCCAGTTCAAAGCAAATAATCTGGGATAAGATTCTGGGATATAGGGCAGTGTAGATCTAGCCTAAGTGAACAATGAAGTTGCTGCCCTGTTCTTCTTTATCATGCCAATAGATATGAGCACAACCAATGACAAAAACTGTGCACCAGATCCCACTGTTTCAGCCACCTTGAAAACATATGTAGGAAACCTGGATCTGAGATACAGAGCTAAGCTATTTTGCAGGAGACAATTTTCATATAAAAATGCAGTTAGTACCTTCATGACATTTTCATCTTTCAGGCAATCTGTGAAGACAACGTGTCTAAAACCTTGCTGTTCCAAACGTTTTAGAACCTCCTAAAAGGCATATCAAAGAGAGATTTATAACATTAGAGGGAATGAAGAAACTTCGGTGATTCACATTATGATTTCCAAAATCCTCATCTCCATATTCTATTTGTTTTGATATGAGGATACAAGGATGCTCCACAAATGAATTTGCATACAACTTTTCACAATCTGGAAGGTGGTGTGCTTCATAAAACATTGAGCCCCTGGTGGCGCAATGGGTTAAACTGTTTTATGGCAGGACTGCTGACAAGTTAACAGTTTGAATCCAGGGAGAGCGGGTTGAGCTCCCTCTGTCAGCTCTAGCTCCCCATGTGGGGACATGAGAGAAGCCTCCCACAAGGCTGGTAAAACATCAAAACATTCAGGCATCCCCTGGGCAACATCTTTGCAGACGGCCAATTCTCTCACACCAGAAGTGACTTGTAGTTTCTGAAGTTGTTACTGACACAAACAAAAAAACCATATCGAGGAATCATGGTAGGTAAGCTGCAAGACTGTCCTGGAATGAAACCATTTTTATTCCAATAAAGGATGGGTATAAAACAGTAAAACATGCACATAAAAAGGGGTTGATTTTAAGAGATCTTGATGGTTAACTAAAATAATACTTGCTTAAAATAAGGCCACTGAGAGACCAGGTAAGTCTATACCACTGAAACTTGATGAAGGCTCTTTCTCTTGCTCTAATTAGCAGAATTTCTAAGTATAGAATAAGTATAGTATAAAAAAGCATGTGGAAAATATGTATTTATTTGATTTCTATTGTGTGTTTCACTTCAATAAAGTCTTAAGAAGCTTTACACACCCTGGTCCTATTGATGCCATTAAAGGCCAAAGCTACAAAGCTGAACTGGACCTGGAAATGAACTGGCTTTTGGGGCTCTTCCACACAGCCGAATAAAATCCCACATTATCTGCTTTGAAGTGAGAGATAGGGCAGTATGGACTCAGATAACTCAGTTCAAAGTAGATAGTGTGGGATTTTCTGTCTTGATATTCTAGTTGTGTTATATTCATAGTTGTGAGATATTCATGTCTAGTTATATGGCTGTGTGGAAGGGCCTGTAGTGAAGCTAATATAGCACTAGCAAAGATGGGGGAGAACTGAAACATTCAGAAAGCATTGCTTTTTTAACTCCTTGATGTTTTTATGAGTAGTTTTAGATTTTTTTAAAATGCCCCCAAAACATGTTATTTAATGTTTTCTCTTCACAGTACTATGATCCCTATCATGGGAATAGCTGAAAAAACAAACAAACCTGTATTTAATTACATGAGTAAATATACTGTGAGAACATACATAAAGCTGTATACTACCCCCTAAGATTGAATATACCTTGGTGATTCTGGTCTCTTCCACACTGCCATATTATCCAGATGATCAATCCACATTTTCTGATTTGAATTATAGGAGTCTACACTGCCATATAATCCAGTTCAAAGCAGACCATCTGGATTTTATATGGCAGTGTAAAAGGGGCCTGTGTTTCTATCTTCCAGAAGAGAAATGTTGGGATATTTGTACAGTGTGTTTCTCACACTGTGGATTAGTCTACAAACCACTGAAGTGGCAAATATGGCTTTTTTAACTCCTTGATGTTTTTATGAGTAGTTTTAGATTTTTAGATAAAACATAGGTCTTACTGGTTTGTGGGTGAGATCTGCTAGGTCCATTTTGTTCAACACCAACAAATGTGGACGGATTCCCAGGGCTTCGTACAATAGTGGGTTCCTGCCAGAGAATGGGATGTAGGTGCGCTAAGGAGTCAAAGGAAAATCAAGAAGAACAGTAACAGCCTGGCATACATTTGGAAGAACTGCAGGGAGTAGAAATTTGTAGCTGGCAGCATAGGATGGAATTTCAAACTGGACTGGGTGAAATTGAGAAAGAACCTAAATTATCACAGGATCTCTGGATTTTTAAAAATACAATGTCAATATTATGTCTCTATACAAGTGGTGTCCACCTGCACTCTCACAGTATAACAGCAAAACAGTCAGCTTCACTGGCTTCCAAAATACAAAGCTACCCTCACTTCCCTCACTTAAGGGCAGAATGCATAAGCTTAACATCTCATATGGCAAGAGACTTCTGGAAATGGAGGATAAGAGTATAACAAAGCAATGCGTGATGGAGGAATATAAACGGGGAGGTTGGGCTCAATACTGGTTGGCCCTACTCCATCACAATTTGGTGGGTCAACAACCCTAATGTAGTTGGACAAGAAGGTGATTAGAGATAAAATCTTTGAAATGGGTGCATCTGACAACCTACAGACCAGTAAACAGCAGTTTCCACTACTTGGTACCCTCTACTAAAAAATGATTAATATCATCAACAGTATTTCCAAGACTTAGTCTGTAACCCGTAGAAAATCATTTATGGCCCTGTACTTCCAAACAATGCCAGTAGGCTGGCTAGATGGAAGATAAACAGAGAGATCCCTCATGCCCAATGACTTTGAATTTGTAGGTCTTGGGAAAGAGAAGATTCAATACACTATCTGTTACATTGTCCTATATATAATGACCCTACAAACAGTCTTCTGGGAGCTCTCTTGGAATAAAGGGCAGCATGGCAACAGTCAGAAGTTATCTGTGACTTTTTAGTGGATTATTCAAAAAATAATAACATTAAAGGTTGCCACATTTGCAGTCACAGGCCAAACAAATCTGAGCTAAATTAGTAAAGTCCACACCTGAGGCTAGAAATGGAAATAGTTTGGGATTATACAAAACAGACATTGTCATTGTTATCATGTCACTGCTACTGTAATTTTAAAGAACCAGTATACAGAGTAAGTTTTAATATTTATATTGGAAAGTGCTTATTGTACTTTTAATGGTTGTATATTATTTGAAGTCATGGCCTATGGCTGGTACAATAAACGATTCATTCATATCCCTTAAGGCCCTTCCAGACAGGTCTTATATTTCAGGATCTGAACCCAGGTTTTCTGCTTTAAACTGGATAATCTGGCAGTGTGGACTCATATAATCCAATATAAAACGCAAAACCTGGTGTCAGATCCTGGAATATAAGACCTGTCAAGGGGGCCTTTCACACAGCCATATAACCCACATAAGCTACATAACCCTGATTATGAAGGCAGAAAATCCCACAATATCTGCTTTGAATGAGTTCACATTGACATATATTCCCATTCAAAGCAGATAATGTGGAATTTTTTTCAGCTGTGTAGAAGGGGTCTAGAAGGGCCCTAAGCCTGAGTTACATCACAGTGGTGTTGTGAAGATAAAAATGGGGGAGATGATCCTTTTGCTGTGGGTGCAAAATGAGCTACTTTGAGCAAGACTAAAATATAAATATAACCTTCGCTGGGATAGAAATGTAAAAAAACTCTCTCCAGCTTTGAACAATGAAAGGGGAGCAGCAGCACTGCTATGTAGTGTCCTAATGCTCTTATTTGCACACATGTAACATGTCGGGCTTCAGTCTCCCAAACTACAGCAGATATTGAAGACACAACTCCCAATTTCTTAAAAGGAAGCACAAACATGCAGGGGAGGGTTTAAAAAAAAGAGTATTTAACATTGTTAAATGTCTTCACAGAAAGACCGGATCTCCTTCAACATGGCCCGCTCTAAAAGGATATGCGAGCATCGTGCACCTCCAGGATGCAATCCACTGCACGCAATCGGCTCTTCATGTCTTTCAGCCCTACAAAACCAAACCAAGTAGAAAGAATTAATGTACAATAACTTATACAAAATCTGAAGATGTCTGCCACAGATGCAGGTGAAACGTCAGGAGGGAATGCTACTTGAACATGGCCATGGAAAACTCACAGTGACACAGGCCCCTTCTATGTCTTTCAGCCCTACAAAACCAAACCAAGTAGAAAGAATTAATGCACAATAACTTATACAAAATCTGAAGATGTCTGCCACAGATGCAGGTGAAACGTCAGGAGGGAATGCTACTTGAACATGGCCATGGAAAACTCACAGTGACACAGGCCCCTTCTATGTCTTTCAGCCCTACAAAACCAAACCAAGTAGAAAGAATTAATGCACAATAACTTATACAAAATCTGAAGATGTCTGCCACAGATGCAGGTGAAACGTCAGGAGGGAATGCTACTTGAACATGGCCATGGAAAACTCACAGTGACACAGGCCCCTTCTAGACAGGCCATATATCCCAGGATCTGATCCCAGGTTTTCTGTTTATCCCAGATTATCTGGTAGTGTGGACTCATATAATCCAATGTATTGTCAAAGGCTTTCATGGTTGGAATCATTGGGTTGTTGTAGGTTTTTTCGGGCTATATGGCCATGTTCTAAAGGCATTTTCTCCTGACGTTTCGCCTGCATCTATGGCAAGCATCCTCAGAGGTAGTGAGGTCTGTTGGAACTAGGAAAAGGGTTTATATATCTGTGGAATGACCAGGGTGGGACAAAGGACTCTTGTCTGCTGGAGCTAGGTGTGAATGTTTCAACTGATCACCTTGATTAGCATTTGATTGCCTGGCAGTGCCTGGAGCAATCTTTTGTTGAGAGGTAATTAGATGTCCTTGTTTGTTTCCTCTCTGTTGTTGTGCTGTTCTAATTTTAGAGTTTTTTAATACTGGTAGCCAGATTTTGTTCATTTTCAGGCACTGCCAGGCCATCAAATGCTAATCAAGGTGGTCAGTTGAAACATTCACACCTAGCTCCAGCAGACAAGAGTCCTTTGCCCCACCCTGGTCATTCCACAGATATATAAACCCTTTTTCCTAGTTCCAACAGACCTCACTACCTCTGAGGATGCTTGCCATAGATGCAGGTGAAATGTCAGGAGAAATGCCTCTAGAACATGGCCATATAGCCCTGAAAAAACCTACAACAACTTATAAAATCCAGTTTCTTTATTTACTACACTTTTATCCCGCCCTTTTCAGCCTGAAGGCAACTCAGGGCGGCGTACAGACTGGAAACAATTAGATGCTGAACACACATAAATACATCATTTAAAACTGGTTAAATCGCGTAATAAAATTCATATAAACACAATTTATAAAAACCTATGACTTCCAGGTTTAAATCCATGTCCATTTGCCTAGTTAAGCCGTTCCATAATAGTTCACAATATTGAGTTTATCTTGTTACAATGAGGTTCCAAAAGCTTGCTCGAACAGGCAGGTTTTTACTCTTTTCCTAAAGGTCAGAAGGGAGGGGGCTGATCTAATATCCCCGGAAAGGGAATTCCACAGCCGAGGGGCCACCACTGAGAAGGCCATGTCCCTCATCCCTGCCAAGTGTGCCTGTGAGGCAGGTGGGATTGAGAGCAGGGCCTCCCCAAATTTATTTATTTATTTACAGCTTTTATATTCCGCCCTTCTCACCCCGCAGGGGACTCAGGGCGGATTACAGTGTACACATATATGGCAAACATTCAATGCCAATTTTGACATACAACATAGACAGACATAGACAGAGGCTATTTAACTTTTTCTGGCCGCCAGGGGAGCTGTCGCTTTCATCGTCCATCTGCGACACTGATGAAGTACTTCCGCATTCCCCGCATGCTTTTTTGCTGGAGTGCTTTGCTGGAGTCTTTTTTATGGCCTCATAAATTAGTTAATTTAGCCTCCCCACACTTTAAGGTGGTACCTAATTTTCCTACTTGACAGATGCAACTGTCTTTTGGGTTGCAAAGGTCGACAATAGGTAAGTTGGGCCAAAAACCAGGGGTCAGATCCTGGGAAATAGGGCCTGTCTGAAAGGGCCCTCAGTTACACATAATTCCTATCCATCATCTCACTTTAAACCCTGTGGCGGCCGCCTTCTGCAGAATTATGGGGCTTGTACTTGAGTGTGGCCCAGGAGCATTTGAGAGGCCCCGCCCCTAAACTACAAGCCCCAGAATTCCGCAGGAGGAGGCAGCCACAGGGTTTAAAGTGGGATCACACTCTTTACCTACTCTTTAAACCCAAAGTGTAGTGTAGTGAGGCCCCGCATCTAATGTTACTGCCTCAAGCCAGCTCACGTGCCCCTCCCTCTTCCCTCTCCCCCCTCCCCCCCACGCGCCTTTGGCCATGTGTCCGGGGAACCATCGGGCCACCTCCAGGCCGCGGAAGTCGAAGTGCTCCCGCCAACCCCGCAAGACGGGCGCGAGGCGCATTGCTCTACTCCTCCGCGCGCGCCGAGCCTGGGCTGTCCTTTCACTTCCTCGTGCGGGGAGGGCGCGTGACGTCGCCTGGGCAGAGGGCGGGCTCGGGGAGGTGCCACTCCTAAGCCCCGCCCATAGGGGCTCTGGCGGCAGGCAAAGAATACTCAGAAGCCAGGGGTTTGTTTTCCCAGTTCCTTCTTGTTACGAAAAGAGTGGGTCAACGCGTCCATCCTTATAAGAGACTGTGTATTGTGAATTTTCCGGGTTGTATGGCCATAAATAAATAAAGAGC